GGAATAGAATTTCATATTTGCCGGTACAATTTCAGCAACTTTTTTTTTCCTGATATAGTTTTCTTCCAGCCACTGACTGTACTCACTTTCTTCATTTTTTATGAGAATACTTTTCCATTCCATCTTACTTTTTTAAAAAACAGCGTTTTCTGTGACGTCGCTTTATGATGTGCAACTTTGACTCGTGTGACTAACTGGATTGGAGACCGAAGTATAACTTCAGCGAAGCTAGATTTAAGATTTTAGAGTTGATCGTCTACGTAATAATTTCAAACTGATTATGTGGGAATAACGCAGAGATTTTCATAGAAAGTAAAGTTTTGAAATGGCTTCTTTTTATCGTGTAGAAAAAAGCTAACTGTTCAGTAACTGGATCTAAGACTTTTAACGACAGAGACCTCTCCAGTACATCGAGCAATTACAGAGACAAGTAAAGGTAATTTTTTAATGATTTTTGGTAGCTTCCTATTTATGTTTCTTTTAATATAACCTAAAAGGAAGTGAATTTAATGTCGGAAAACTTTTCCAGTAAACTTTCCTTCACAGGTTTTTTCATCTATTTTTTTTTTTTCAGTTTGCTGAGTTCACTGTTTTTACTCCTCTCAGTATTCTTCAGAGATGCAGGATGCATATCGGTTTAACTGAAAACACTAATTTCTTGTTCGGCATTACTTTATAATACTGAAGTCACTTACTAATCATATCACATATCAAAATTTCTCGTCGCTTTATTTACGTTTTGAAATTCAAAGCTAATTTCGATTTATTTTAAATACGTCTTAATTTACTCTAATTAAAATGCTAATTATTTCTTTCAAATTACAGAAACATATTCGCGTTCTAAAAAAAATTTCTTTGCAAAGCTGTATTTTGACTGCATCTAGTTTTTTCTATTAAATAGAAAGGACATAGGCAAAGAACAGAAGATCAGTAAGTTTTGTACAATAAGTGAATGGTAGGGAAGTTAGGAATTTCTTATAACGGCTTTGTTGTAGCACATTTATTTATTTCTTCATAGTTATTAAACAAACTTTGCATTACAAGATATTTTTTTTGTGACTATCAAATATAGTTTTCTCTTTATTGTATTGATTGTGAAAATCTAGAAGTGATTCTAATAAGGCATGATTTTTCTCATTTTTTAGTCAGTTTCAGCAGGATTCTAATTCGCTGTTCGCCATCTAGCAGTTTTCGATAACTGTCTTTTTTTTACACTGGTGAAGACTGATGAGAAAATTGGTGAACTGCATTACAGGATCAATCACTTTTCTTATTTTCGAAAATCGTTTTATCTTACCTCGTATGTTATCAAAAGTTGTTTTAAACAAATAAAGGTTGAAAAATTGAGTTATTTATCATTTTTGATTTGAAGTTCTGAGCTGCTAGTGAGTAACATTCTTAATTTAAACTTGAGCTATTGTTACAGTTGAATGCTGACTTCGATTCTCGGTTTTAAACAATAAAGCCATTAAAAAACATAACTAATTTGTTTTTATGGTTTTAGAAATAAAAACTACTATTTGTGATACATCGGCTGACAGGAAGGTGAAGAACAGATGATTGAAAATTAGTGAAAGTAAAAAAATGATGATCTGAACTTTTTTAATGTTGAGATAATTGAATGATTAAGTGCATTAAAAGGTCGCACTAAATCTTTAACGTTTCCGTTATAGGTAGCATTATACTCATCTTCTTAAAATTAAGATTCAAAAAAAAACTTTGTGATTCAATGAAAAATTTAATGATTTAATGAACTTCAAAAAGCGTATCAATCTCATCTGTCTGCTGGCTCAATTTTCAGTTATTTTCGAAAAATCAACTGTCTGGTTCTTTCAGACAGCTTCCGCTTAGAAGTTAGTAGTTTTGCAGATAACAATTAGCCATTTTAAACTATAACAGTTTATTTTTTCTTCGCATTTTATTTCTAATTTTTTTTCGTTTTATTTCCGGTTTTTGGCTTTTAAGTTTGATGTTATATAACGTTAAAAAAAGAATTTAGATAGCTGCTTTCTAGCAAAATGAAATACTAAAATGTTATTATACATTTCAGTGCTAAAAACAGGTCGATTAACACGTTGCTGAAGCAGTAATTAATTGACTGTATTACATTTATTTGATTCAAAAGCCAGTAATTTAGGACAGACATACTACAAGAGTGAAGTTTTAGATTTTTAATCTGTCAATAATTTACGATTAATATAATTTTAAATAGAATCTACCGTAAATTTAGTTCTTATACCAAGTGCCAATACCGAGAACTATTTGTTGCTGGGACTGTAAGATATACATGTATTATAACTTTCGTTACTAATAAATTGTCTTTTCTTTTTTCTTGCTTTAAAAATGAGCTTATTCAAGTAAAAAATTAAATATTTTTTGTTGATCAGTTCTATTCGTTCCTATTATTGCGCGGTAATATTTTTACTATAACAAATTTACTGTTATAGTTATATTGAATTCCAGGTATAAATACCTATTCGCCAAGCGCTCTTGTTTAAATTCTCGCTAATTTTATTTTTGTATATTTAAGTTATGAAAAAAGATGCAAAAAATGTGATTTAAAAAAATTATTTTAAGAACTGATCAATTGTGCGTAACAATAATTAATGCACATTTTCACACAATATGAAACAACTTTTTATCTGTCTTTAAACGTTGTAACAGTAATGACTCGAAGATTATTTGAGAAGCTGGACCTTCAAAACTAGGCATCAAATAAATTAATTTTGAGGTTCTAAATTACCTTTGCAAGGAAAAGTTTTTCAGCAGCAGATTGGCCAAGCGACTAGTAGAACGAAACCTATGCACCATATTTAATATCTTTTTTTTGCTGATAACAGTGCCTTTAATATATCAATGTTTAAGGTTATATAAAAGTGATTTCCAGGCTTCTCTCGCTTTTTCGGAAATTCTCAAAGCTAAAAAATGGTCGTCTTACGGACTGCTCTCATAACTTTACTAATCTTTAAAGGTAGGTTACCACGTGACTGTAGCTTAAGACTTAAATGTAAAAATACTGAAAAATTTTTCTTGTTTTTCAAAGCAAACAGATGTATAAATGTCGTCTAGACTTACAAAAGTGTCTTAGTTTTAATAAATTTGTCTTTTACCTTTTAAGAACTTTGGCTCAGCACACTTTGAAGGGGTAAGTTTTGGTTTCCAACAAGTTTTCAGTTGGTTTTGTTTAACCAGTTCCAGCGTCATTTCTTTGTTAATTTTTTGTAAAAATGTAAGGACTGATTTTGTTTTGTGATAAAGATTTCTGCCTCTAAATCTCGGAAAAGCACTTCAAACTCATCTTTATGTCTTTAAATATTATTTATCACTGTTATGTTCAGTACCAAAAAACATCTTTAATTTAGCTGCTAATGAGTAAATTGACGTAAGCAATTACTGTTTATTTCTCGTCCCTTAGTTTATCAAAACTCAGCAATTTAAAAATTGACCTGACATATCGTCAGTTCAGGAAATCGCTTTTATAATAGTGTTGCACACTAAGTACCTAACAATTCCACAACAGCTATAATTTTTTACTTTCACTTTCGCTTTATCAGGTGAGCAAGCGTGATGACACGTTATTCGAAAATGTTCAGCAGTCAAAGTTTAATAAACGGTTTATTGAATGCTGTTAATAAATGTAAAGCAAAAAACCTTATAAGTTTACAGAAAACTTTGCTGCTTTTAGTGCGAAGCATTATATTGGGTACTGAAAAAAATTTATTTCATTTATATCTGGGCGATTTGTAAATATTGATGATATTATATGTTTAATTTTACACGTTATCTTATTTACAGCTGAAAAGTCTGAATTACAGAAGGCAATTCAAGAAGACTTTTTAGCAAGAAGTAAAAGTTTCTAAATATCAGAGTTCAATGCAATTCGTTGTATTTTCTGCAGAATGCGAAATAAGCATATAGGAAGTGATACTGAGAAGTTTTGATGAAATTAAACAAAACCACAAAACCAGCGTTGTACAAAAATTACTTGCTATTGGCTACTGAGATCGAGGCTGTTTGTAGAAAAGAACTTTTTGTTCTACTCTTTTTAGGGAAATGAAAAGAAAACATTATCGAGGATTACTTTGTAGTAAATCAGGTAGAAAAGAAACGAGGAGAAAACTGGAAAAGTCAAAAAAAGATAAACAGATTTTTGCAGTCAAAAACTTTTTTGAGGAACAGCTGCTGTAAAACCACTGAAGTACAGAGTGAATAAAGTTTTCCAGTACTTGATATTATTTCTGATTCTATGTTCTATAACAGAGACTGAAAAAACAGCTCTGCGATTAGTGCTTGCATCAACCAGTTTGGTTGTTCTTTTAAACTCATTTTCGGAATTTACGAATACTTTGATAGATATATTACTTTTATTTTAAAATCAAAAGATGTTGAGAACTGTCAAGAAATTTTAATTTTTTGTAATGAAAATTTCTAGTTTCTTTATCGATAAGCAACACCATTGCTGAATAACTGTTGAATACAAATCAATCAACACAGATTGACTAGACCATAGTACAAAATTACATTAATTTCATTAAACAAGAAGTCATCTCAAGAATAAAGCTCGGTACTGCTGAGCAGCCAACATGATTTCGTTTTCTTTCTTTTACAGATTATAATCTAAGAGCGATGAAGCGCAGAGCAAATGAAAACTAGGTCAGTAAAATTAAAAAAAAAAAACTTGGGAAACCTTTCTTTCAGCATAAATTAAGATTGAGCCAAAGCAGAGTGAGAAAAGCTGAAAAAAACTTTTGTCATTCATTTCACTGGCAAGCGGCATTTTAAAATACTGAAAAAAGATTAAAAACAGTGACATTTGCCTAAAACTACAAATTTTTTCTCCAGCCTTGTCTCTAACTTCCTTGCGTAAGCTAATATTAGAAAAGGAGAAAGGAAGAAAGAAAGGGAAGAAATTGAACACAAAGTTCAGGAAAATAGAAAGAATTTGCTGTTTTCTTGCAAAAATAACATTGGCCGATTGTTGATATTTAAAAAAACAACAGATGTCTGCAACGTGGTTTCAACGTCTGTCAGATCGCCGTCTCCTACAGAGCTCTAAACACTTAGTCTCGACATCATCAAAACCACTCTATTTTAAAGGTTTCAGTAAACAATACAACCTCGTAGATCATGACGGCCATTATGAAAAAATCACTGTTTTTTTTAAAAGTCGTTTTGTCAGCTTTTTTAATTATTAATATTACCTTTACAAGTCAAGGTTTAGACTATAGAATGCTTCCTTTAACTACTTGTTCCAGTTTGCCCTCTGTCAAAAAAATTTAGTTTTTTGAACCTTATAAACAGAGTTTATTAAGAGAACTAAGTATTCAGCTATTACTGCATAGATTAAAAAGTATAAAAGTAAATCAAAAATCAAGTGAGGCTTAAAAGCTTAATATTATTTTTTACTACCAAAAACTTATTTCCATCGATTTAAAATTATCAAGTTTTTATCAAAAAATTATTCTGCAAAGTGAAAAAACCATTACTGTTTCAAAAAAATTAAAGGCTTTCTAATTATTTTTCAACAGTAATTGAAAAGCTCAGGTTACAGTTTTTACAACGAGCAGTACTGTCATAAGAAAGAATTTTAAATTTAATTACTGCACTATAGAACTGCAAAAGAGGTCTTGTTATCCATATTTCTTTTTAGTTGTTAGCAGCCGGTTCTTTGGATACACAGAAACGGATGGTCCACACACATGGAATGGTTCCTGTAGGGTTGGCAAAAGGCAATCGCCTGTTGACATCAAATCGTCAGAAGTAGTTTACGACGAAACAATCCCGCGCTTACAATTTGTCAACTATGATCAGAGCTCTGGAAGCTTCTTTGTCGAAAATAATGGAATAACTTGTAAAATTTTTCTTGGTTTCTGGCTAAGAAAAAAATCGTGGAAAATAAAAATGGCTTGTTTTCCAGTGGTATTTCACGGTTTTGCAAACTGGGGTGCTAATCAACCTTACATTCGCGGCGGAACTTTGCAAGGCGAGTATGCCTTGGAAACCATGCATATCCACTGGGGAATAAAAAATGAAACTGGAAGTGAGCATACTTTGGGTGGGCTTCACTATCCTGCAGAGGTAACGGCGTTTTCCAAAAATCTTTTTTTTATAGACCAGCGGTCGATCCGACTTGTCAACAGTCTTTAGCAAACGAATCATGGTTTTGAGAAAATATAGAAATAATGATTCGGAAGTGAAATTTCACTAAGAAAATAACAAAGAGCTGTTGTGAAGTGTTATTATCAGTGCGTCTCAATACCTCCATATATATAAGATTTAAAAATTTTTTTGACCACATTATAATTGATCATTTCTATGTTTTTATGGTGTGGTTGAACTCGGTACAACATTCTTCGAGTTGTGTTAAACGCACTAGAAAAATTTCTCTTTGTAAAAAGAACTTAATAATAATATTGACTTTACTTCTTCGTCGTCAAAAAATATATAACAGGAATTTTTTTGAATTTGTATTGCAGTCTTTCGGGTTTTTTACTGAGTGTTTTATTTCGCGGTAAATACTCTTGAAGCAAAAGGAGGCTGTACCTTAAAAACCCTTTTATTTTATCGACATCTTCATTACGAAAATTAAACTTTATTCAACTTTATTCAATGAAAATGACTTTTGATTTCTTGATTCTACAGTGATGATTCTTTCTTTAAGCTACACTTTGTTCATAAGAAACGCGGTCACACAGATGGCGTACCATTGAAAGGTGACAGCTTGGCTGTTGTTGCTGCTTTCATGCTAATTGATAGTGAAGGGAAATCTTTTGCACCATTTGAAGCAGCTATCAAAGACGTTCTTCACAATCCTGGTAAGTAATATTTTAATTGAAGCTGAAAACACTGTGCGTTGAAGTTAGGTCAATTTTCTGCCTCACCCTCACACTATTAAATCTCTCAATTTACTCGTTTTTCAACACCACATTTAAGGGCGTTCTTCCAAACAAAAACAGGCATATAGCTTGACAGATTTACTACCCGGCTCGGTAGAAACATTCTATACCTATGAAGGATCGCTGACTACACCGAACTGTGAAGAAGTTGTTATATGGATTGTTTTAGGCGACCCAATTACTGTGACTGCAGAACAGGTTATAATTAATAAGGATTAGAATAATAACTTTTTTTCAAAGGATACTTATTACAAGCATGACAATAGATTTAAGTCGTGACAGAAGCAATTTTTTTCTTTTTCTCAAATAGTATGTGACTGTAGTTGATGTAGAACTGAAACTAAATAAAATCATTGCAGATGGATTTGATACGTGAGACAAAAATGAGTGGCGATCTCAGCACAGGATCAAATTCTCGCCCAACCCAACCATTACTTGGACGTAAGGTACGATTTCGCCCAACAGCTCGCTTGTCAAATATGGGGCTGTCACCAAGGAATTCAATTAATCTGATTACTGTCTTGCTCTTTTATAATATTGCCTTAATACTGCATTAATTCACTGCTAAATATTTTAAAATCCACTATCTTTCACGTTGCAATCAAATGCAATTTGAAAATTAATAACTGTAACACATCAAGTGGC